CCTCCAAGACTCTTGTCAAAACAGCCTCAAACCTTCTTCTTAATTTTTTTTTTAAAGAGAGAGATGGGTAGGTGCTTATTAAATTTAAGAAAATTAATTTTTCATTTTTCAAAATACTTTGAAGGGACCCCATTAACTTAGAAGTCACACTTCTGTCTGGAAATACTGTACCTGTGTCTGCATTAAGGTAGCACTAAGTCTGAATCAGGATTGTGACCTCATTGTACTGTGCACAGCTCAGCACAGAGTAGGACAGTCCGTGCCGTTAAGAGTTCTGCCTAATTTAAATCAGGATGCAATAGTGGGTATGACAAACAGGAGGCGGGAGGAGGGAAACAAGAAGAATGTTAATATAGATCAGCTATGTACAGCGCTGGATAGTTTGAATTTATATATAATGTTATGAGACTAGTAATAAATGGATGATAGTATTGCAAAGATATATTCTTTAGTTCAAACAGGAATTAATCCAGGGGAGTCCTATGGCCTGTGGTATATGGGAGGTCGGACTAGATGATAACAATGGTTTCTTCTGATTATATAATCTATGAAGTAAAATTTATGATTAGTATAAATGAAAGAGATTAGAGGGGCACAAATATCAGTTTGTTTACTTTGTACATTTGACAGCTCTCTGTGTATAGCCAATTCCTCTGTTCATCTTGCACAGTAAGTATCCCATATTGTTTATGTGGGACTTTCACATAGAAGCCAAGGTTAGAGGAAACATTAAGAAAATATAAGGAAAAAGAAAAACTACAGAGGTAGCGATAGTACCTGAAATTAACTGTCTCTTTTCAATTTGACTGTGTCTTTTAAACAGTTGAATCTGAAATTTGAGAGAGGTTTTTAAATTAGTCTCATATATTTGACTCTCCTGTACATTTTATAGTTCTCTTTACACATTGTGTGAAAGAAATCAAGTGGACTGAAATGGGTTCCTAGTCTTTACCCTGCCAAAATTTCCCATTAATTTTGTTTAGCTGAGGATTGCAGAGTTAGGACTCTGAGCTATACCATCAATGTTGATAGGACCAAAAACCTAATCTGCTTTAAGAATGTTTCCTCTCCACCCACTTCTTTCATTTAACTGTCCACCTGAGCCTGAAGCATCTGATTCTTCAAAACAAAAGTCTCCAATCTCTATGCTGGGTGACCACTCAACCTAGGTTTAGGTTTCTTTGAAATATCATGTGTTACACTCGCATGTTAAGTTGTTTCTCTATGTTCGGTGTGTTTATTGTATTTTTGTGAACAGGCCGGGTATTGGGACAAATTTCTGTTGGATAACTGTCTTGCTTGCTTGTAAGAATGGTGTAGATCGTGGAAAGGATAGTTGTGATATGCCAACTAAAAGAAAGTGTATGGTTTTTGACACTCTTTTTTTAAAAGGCTGACCTCTCTAAAAAGCAGTAATTCTTGCCATTCAAGTTGACTTTCTAAATTAGCAGAACAATATTAGAGTAGGATGGAAAATATTTTCCCATCATATGTAGTAGTAACTTTGGAAATGCAAATTCTTTAGGCTTGACTATTCATATATATTTTTAACCAAGAGCTCACACAGTGGGAGGTGACTAGTAAGGGTGAATGGGGTTTGACAACAAAAAGCCTTATCAGGAAGTTAAAGGCAAACACAAGCTCACCATTTAATTCAGAATTAAATGAAGTAAGGGGAGTTAAACAGAAGGGATGAAGCTGAATTTACTGGATGCTTTAAGTAGTATTAGTAGCAAGCATGTGGACATCCTCCATATTGACTTTTTTTATTGGGTTCCATTTACAAACATTTTAATGTTGAAACTAACATGACACTTTTTTCTCTCATGCCCTTTGCCTTTGATTTTCAGTTTCCCTAGCTTAGGTCAAGTGACTTATTGTTGATCTCCCGTGTTGATCCTATACTTCCAAGGTCTGAATTGACTCTTCTTGGGGTGTTTCCTGTATTGTGACTGACATAAGTGCTGTTCCTAGCTTGATTGATTTTTCTCCATATTTTTCTTTTTTGCTTTTGGTTTTCTTTCCATTCCCCTCACCTCTCCCATTACTTTCTTATGCCTATTTATTCCTAGTTCTCTGTCCTTGCATCTGCCTTTCCCACTGTCTCATTCTTCTACCTGGTTCATTCCTTCCTTTGTTTCTGACTTCCATTCTCTAGATTTATGTCTACCTTCCTTCTTACCCTAATTTCCTATCTTTTTTTCAACATACTCTGCTTGCTTGTTCACTCACATATTCAAGGATATCTTAGGCTTCCCCTCTTCCCTGCCTGTCCTGCCCAAGGATCTCTGCAAGCTTCACACTATATTTGTCTAGCTTTTTCTGCAGTTTATATATGGCCAGTGATGTTAGAAATTGTATGCAAAAAGCTCCCACCCTGGCTGGGGTAGGGAGTAGGCAGCGGATAAGAGGACAAACTGTTAGGGAAGGTAATTAATTAGGTGGGGTGAACTAGAGCAGTGTTTCTCAACCTTTTTGATACCAGGGACCAGTTTGCTTCCTTCCTTAAACTGTGTCAGGGAGATCACAGGGACCAGCACCGCTCCACGGACCAGTCCTTGAGAAACGCAGAACTAGAGTGCTCCTCAACTCTACCCCAGAAAGGAGTTATGTTCTGCCTCAGTCTGACTGTACTGTCTCTGCAGAGATTTAGCTTTCCTGCTGTTCTTCAGAATGGAGGCTCAGAAATTCAGTTTTTAAGTACAACTTAATTTATATGACGAGAAATAATTTCTAAAAGCTCACTTAAGCACCCTGAATAGAATAAACTTGGTGCAACTGGCTTTTAAGTAACACCTCTAAATAGTAATAAATTTTATCCTGTTGTTGGATTTGCGCTATTTCAAACAACGGTTTAGAATTTCCAATTGTCTTACATTTTTAACAGGCTGGTGAGCATGTTGTAAAATAGCCTATCTGGTGCTACACAAACTAATGAAATGCTGGAATCCTTTTTATGTTTCTGACAGACACTCCACTTGTGCTAAACTTGATGACTATCACTGCAGGGTTGGAATCTTTATTACAGCACCAAGTGCAATCTAGTGTTTGGAACAAAAAAGATAAAAACCATGCACTGTTTTAAGTAATCTACCCATAAAGGCAGCTACTTTGACTCTGCAACACCTTTCATAGTTTATTGCTTAAAGAGGAAAAGCTTTGAAATGCTTTGGGGGAATTCTACAATCATTTCAAACATACAGATTATTCATTTGATGATCATTTATAGCATTATTGTGTAGCAAAAATGCTTTGCTTGTTTTAGTATTCAGTTTTATTTATAGCTATTTTTTAATCTTTAATTTTTTGCATTGATAATTTTAGTGGTAATACCTGTTTGGTACATTACGAATATTTTTAAAACTAACAAATTTAATTAAATGACATTAAATGAAGTTTTCAATTGGTTTTATCCACATGAAGTACACTGTAGACGTAAAAGGTCGTGTGATGAAGTCCATCATGATAGTATATAATTTATAGACTTTAAAAATTCGGAGTTTCATTAAACAGCTGAATAGCTGTTACCAAAGCTTCACAATTTCAAGGTAATTTAATGTGTGTGTTTTAAATATTCTAGTATACCCCTGTGAAGCTCAAGAAATTCTGAGTTAATACTTCTGTAGCATCCTTAGCTTTGAGCTATTGTTCCTGTTATAATAGATACGTTGTTTAGATTGAAAGTCTGGCTTCTGTAAATCCATGGTAGTATCTTCTTTAGCCAGATTTTGTTGTAGAGAAAATGTGTATGTTTAAGGGCTGGTCTACACTGCCGCGCTAGTTCGGCGGCTGGGGATCGAAGTTCCGAGTTCGATTTATCGCGTCTGGTCTGGACGCGATAAATCGAACCAGGAAGTGATCCCCGTCGACTGCGGTACTCCAGCTCAACGAGAGGAGTACCACGGAGTCAACGGGGAGCCTGCCTGCCGCATGTGGACCGCGTCTGAACCGCGGTAAGTTCGAAGTAAGGTATGTCGAATTCAGCTACGTTATTCACGTAGCTGAATTTGCGTACCTTACTTCGACTTGGGGGGTAAGTGTAGACCAAGCCTAAGTTACAAAACTCTTAAAACAGAAAGTTATACACTAAACATAATAGAAACTGACAGTCTTAAAGGGAAACTGTCGAAGTTGGTAGCTTGAAAATTGTGTTAGATTCTTACCTTTAAAATATATATATATATACACACACACACACACGTAGAGTGAATGGAAAAATATGTGACTTGCTAGCATTGTTGTTGCTGG